ATCTCCAGTAGCTGCCTCCTAAATGATCAAAAACATTAGCAATGTGTTGGTTTTGTAAAATTGCTACTGTTTTGTTCTGAAGTGCTGTAGCCATTACCTGGATTCTAATAGTAATATGACAGCTATATAGTAAAATATTGTCTTTCTTTATGATAGGAAATGAAAAAGCATCTGTTATGAAGCCTCAGTGAACTAAAAGCCATTCTCTGAGAAGTCAGGACTTTTAGACTTTATCAGTAGGTAAAACATATGAGCCATAAATTTTCTAGCAATAGAATATTTTGACCTGTATGAATATATGCTTTATAGGTAAGACTGCTATTTAATGAGAGCTTTAAAGTAAACCTTGTTGACAGAATTCAGGATGGAAAGTTTTACCCTAAATAAAACTTCAGGATATTGAATATGATAGCAGACTTCAAGGGTACGTTGTATATTTATGAACAATTTTCTTTTGAATATTTGGACCTTGGGGGTTTTGGTGAGACATGTTCGTGTATGTTATATACAAACTTTCAGGCCTGGCATGGTGGCTCACACCTATAGTCCCAACACTTCAGGAGGCTGATGCAGGATAATTGCTTGAGCCCAAGAGTTCAAGACCCCATCTCTACAAAAAAAAAAAAAAAAAAATTAGCCAGGCATGGTGGTGCCCACCTGTAGTCAGAGCTACTTGAGAGGCTGAGGTGGGAGAGCCCAGGAGGTCGAGGCTGCAACAAACTGTGATCATGCCATTCTACTCCAATCTGGGTGACAGAGCAAGATTCTGTCTCAAAAAAGCAAAATAAAACTTTCATCCTCCTCACTGCTAGTGGTCTCTTACTGGACCTTTGGAACCAGTCAGATGTATATGTCTTCCTAATTAGATTATTAGCTTCTCAAGGACAATATATTAATCTATATATTGGCTTCTGATACTGGCACATGGTATACAGTAAGTATTTTTGAATGAAAGAGAGTAATGAAATTTAGATTGTCATACAAGTATAAACTTTTTTTTGTTTTTTTTTCCACAAGTATAAACTTTTAAATCAAGATTTTATCGAAGTATTTTGAGATCTGTTCTTACATTAAGAAATGAATCTTCTACCCACCATCCTGTATTTTAGCCAATCCTTGTCCAAAGCAGATGTTGAAAAATAGCTTTCAAAGTTGGAATTCTTCTGCATCTCAGAATGTGCAGTATGCCATGTCTGCTCGTGATGTTTATTGCTGAATATAAGTGTTCTGATCAAACCACAGTTAGAGCTTTTCTCGCTACTATGGAAACGTATCTGGATAATTTTGATTAGAAAATGAATGATCTAAGATGGACATTATGGGGCTGGGCACAGTGGCGCACGCCTGTTATCTCAGCACTTTAGGAAGCGGAGGCAGGTGAATCATTTGAGGTCAGTAGTTCAAGACGAGCTTGGCCAACATAGGAAACCCCGTCTCTACTAAAAATACAAAAATTAGCCAGGCATGGTGGTGCATGTCTGTAGTCCCAGCTACTAGGGGGGCTGAGGCAGGAGAATCGCTTGAACCCAGGAGGAAGAGGCTGCAGTGAACTGAGATTGTGCCACTGCACTCCAGCCTGGGCGACAGAGTGAGACCCTGCCTCAAATAAAACAAAACAAACAAAAACAAACAACAACAACAAAACAAATAAGATGGACATTATGGAATTTCTGAAGCTAAGTCTTAGGGAATTTGGGGGCGTGGTACTGACTCTGGTGTGTTTTAGAATGGAGAAATGCTAGGACTTGGCTCTTGACAGCTAATGTGTAAAGCTTTGACTAGACGGGCCCTAAGCTGTATCCAGCCACTGCAGTCCTCTTAGTTATAACAACAGCGGGACAGAATTCACAGAATTCACAGAAGTGAATTCACTTCTGTCACTTGCGGGACAGAAAAGGATTGAAACAGTTCCTGAGGTATGCTTTGGTCCATGACATAAACCTGATCTTAATGAGGCACAGTTAGGGAGTCACTTTGTTTTTTCTCTTTCTGTCTTGTGCATGTATGTCTGTGTGCACACCCACACATTTGTCCATGCACGGAATGTCTCTGGAAGGACCACAGAAGCTGATAACAGTGGCTGCCTCAGTAAAGGGGAATAGAGAACTGGGGAGCTGGGGTGGAAGAGACTTTTTGTTGTTGTTGTTATGAGAGTGCTCCGTAAATGCCAAAGAATATATAAAGTATTATAAGATTTGATTAATGCACACCTACTAACCAGCCTAAGAAAAACAGCACAACCTATATACTGAAGTTTTCTAAGTGTTCTCTTTGATTTATCCTTCAGAAAATGCTTTTATTTTTAACTGTGTACTTTAAAATCTTTTTGGTTTTGTGCCACATACATGTTATTTATTTGAAAATATCTGTTTTATTTTTGAAAATATTTCTTCAGCACTTTGGGAAGCTGAAGTGGGCGAATCACTTGAGGTCAGGAGTTTGAGACCAGCCTTGCCAACATGGTGAAACCCCATCTCTACTAAAAATGCAAAAGTTAGCCAAGCGTGGTGGTGGGCGCTTGTAATTCCAGCTACTCGGGAAACTGAGGCAGGGGAGTCTCTTGAACCCGGGAGGCAGAGATTGCAGTGAGCCTAGGTCGCACCACTGCATTCCAGCCTGGGCGACAGAGCGAGACTCCATCTCAAAAAATAAAAATAAAATATTTCTTCAGTCCATTTAGTCTCTCCTTCCTTGATATCTGTATACTTAAAATTCCTGCATTTTTTTTAAACTTCTAGTTCCCTAATCATTACAGTTTGTCTCTGCACTGTATGTTTGAGAATAGTATGGATCAAGAGGGGAGTGGCAGTTAGTAAAAATGAGGTTAAAAGGAACTATCATAGGGCAGATTGTGGACAAGTAAGTTTTGCCCTTTTTGATAGTATGTTAACTCTTTAAGGAAGTTGCCCCATTTGGGTTCACATCACTCAGAAGTCTATAAAACTGATGAAAAACTCCAGGTTGCACTAGCAATACCTACTTTTTGGATCTCTTAATGCTCTAAATCTTTTGGCAAGGGCTACAATGGATGAAGAAGAATTGTCTTGGAGTACATTAACACTAACGATTGCTGATGAGCTTTTAAAAAATTGCAAAAAAAAAAAAAAATCTCATAGTGTTTTAAGAAAGTTTACAAATTTGTGTTGGGCCACATTCAAAGCCATCCTAGGCTGCAGGATGTACACGCTTGCTCTAAATATTAATGTGGACTTTAAAAGAACATACTTTTTTTTTTTTTTTTTTTTTTGAGGCGGAGTTTCACTCTTGCTGTCCAGGCTGGAGCGCAGTGGTGCGATCTGGGCTCACCGCAACCTCTACCTCCTGGGTTCAAGCAATTCTCCTGCCTCAGCCTCCTGAGTAGCTGGGATTACAGGCATGCACCACCATGTCCCGCTGATTTTGTGTTTTTAGTAGAGACAGGGTTTCTCCATGTTGGTCAGGCTGGTCTCGAACTCCTGACCTCAGGTGATCCTCCCGCCTCTGCCTCCCAAACTGCTGGGATTACAGGTGTGAGCCACCGCACCTGGCCACTTTTTTTTATATTCAAGGGATTTTAGAGTTTGAGAGAAACCTTAGGTAGGGAAACCTTAGGTAGAAAATTCTTGCCCTCCACTTTAAGATAAGGAAATTGACCCATTTCAAAGAAACCATCAGAGGCCTCTAATATATGAGATTGTTTATAATTTTTCCCAAAGATTTTGGTTTTCTTTGGGTTTTTCCTTTGCAGGATTCTATCACTATTCAGACTGACTCACATCTTAGGAGGTGGAGATAAAAACCAGTGCCTGGGTATTCACCTTCTGCCCGCTGGGAAGTGGAGTCAGAATGCGACAGGCCTCATAGTTCTCCAGTGTACCTCCATCTTATCTTACTCTGTATTCCCTAGTCTTGGTGATCTCATACTTTAATGATGATCTCAGAAGACAGGTAGGTAGACAGACAGCTGTTGTCATCAGTATTCTGGCTTACATCTTAGTGCCCCTTCTCTGACTCACTGATTTATCTGAAGTCCCCTTAGAGTTAGGACGCAGATCAAAGAAATTTGAATTCATCTGTCAGTCTGCATCTTTTTTTTCCCTCCTTTTTGTTTCTTTTTGGATGAGGCAAGCTGTCAAGACCAAGAACTAACAGTTTTAGCTTTATTAAAACAGTGCCAAATTAAATAAAGATGAGACTCATAAAGTCTTGTTTTTTTGGAACCTCACTTTTATGATTACCACATGCATTATTTTTAAAAAAGATTTTCCTTATAACAACAAGGAAAATAATGCTGAAAAACCACTCTGCCATCAGTGACAAAAAAAAACCCCACTTTCTTTGCTTTGCACTCATCAAGCTAAAGGGCAGTATCTGGCTGAGCTCATAGTATCAGAGGTCTGGGGCATTAATGTCATGGCAAAGTTGCATAAATGGATGATGGTGGCAGTAGGGTGAGTATAGAGGGCTTAGAAAAGAGGAATATATGGCAACTAACTAGTGCAAACAAACTCAGTAGTGAAATTTTGTAGTCGTCATAATTTATAAATATTTTAGTGTGTGTGTGTATACATATATATATATATATATATATATACTATATATATAATTTTTTTTTTTTGAGACAAGGTGTTGCTCTGTCACCAGGCAAGAGTGCAGTAGTGTTCACTGCAGACTCAACCTTCCTGCTCAGCAATCCTCCCATCTCAACCTCCCAAGTAGCTGGACCACAGGCGTGCACTGCTATACCCCAATATTTTTTTCTCCTCCTCTGCCCAGTAAGTTTTTATTTTTTGTGAAAATGAGGTCTTGCTGTGTTGCCCAGCTGGTTTTCAACTCCTGAGCTCAATCAGTCCTCCGACCTCTGCCTCCCAAAGTTTTGGGATTACAGGCATAAGTTCACTGCTCGTAAGCCCCTCAGCCTTATGTATATTGTTTGATCTTCACAACAACTTTTTGCAGTGTCTGTATCTTCACAATTTACAGTGGAAACTGAGGCTCAAAAGCTTAAGGGCACACAGTAAGAGATGGAACAGGTGTTTAATTCAGCTTTTGAGTTTAAACCACTATTTATTACATGATCCATTTAAAATTAATCAGGTCATATCCCTCCGTACTCACAACCTGCCAGTAATTCTCACTCACTGGAAAAGCCACAGTCCTTATACTGCTCTACAAAGCCCACATGAACTGCTTTATAACTCTTGATTTTATCTCCTTCTCTCTCTCCTTCCGCTTATTTTACCCCAGCCATATTGGCTTTGTTTGCTGTCCCGAGCACCTTAGCCTCCCGTACCAGGGCTTTTGTACTTGTTATTCCTTCTATGTAGAGCACTTTTCCTGAGTAGCCTCATGGCTTGCTCCTGCATCACTTTGAGATTTTTGATTAAATGTTCCTTTTGGGCCCGTTATGGTGGCTCATACCTATAATCCCAGCGCTTTGGGAAGCCGAGTAGGGAGAATCACTTGAAGCTAGGAGTTCAAGGCTACTCTGGGCATCATGGTGAGATGCTGTCTCTATGAAGAACAGCAGCAACAACAACAAATTAGCCAGGCATGGTGGCATGTGCCTGTAGTACTAGCTACACAGGAGGCTGAGTGGGGAGGATCAGTTGAGCCCAAGAATTTGAGGCGGCAGTGAGCTATGACTGTGCCACTGCACTCCAGCCTGGGTGACAAGCAAGACCATGTCTCTTAAAAAAAAGAAAAAAGTGAAAAGAAAAGTTACTTTTTCAGTTAGGCACTCCTGACCATCCTATTTATATAAAATCTTCTTTTATTTTCCTTCATACCACTTATTGACAGAATAGATAGTTCATTTGTTTATTGGTTGTGGCTATCTCTTTGTAAAATGTAAGTGCCACAAGGAGGATTCGTTTTCCTTTTTGATTTTTCTACATTGAATACTTTCTTTTTTTTTTTTTGAGACGGAGTCTTGCTTTGTGCCCCAGGCTGGAGTGCAGTGGCACGATCTCGGCTCACTGCAAGCTCCGCCCCGGGTTCACGCCATTCTCCTGCCTCAGCCTCCTGAGTAGCTGGGACTACAGGCGCCCGCCACCTCGCCGGAATTTTCTTGTATTTTTAGTAAAAAAGAGAACGGGGTTTCACCGTGTTAGCCAGGATGGTCTCGATCTCCTGACCTTGTGATCCGCCCGTCTCGGCCTCCCAAAGTGCTGAGATTACAGGCTTGAGCCACCGCGCCCGGCCTACATTGAATACTTTCTACATTGTAAATGTATAAGAATACTTTCTACATTGTAAGCACTTAATAATTGTTGAATAGGTGATGTACCAAAATTAGGATTTTTTTTAGGTTAAGTGTGTTCCTGAGACCATGCCTTGTAACTGTTTGTATAGTGTGCCCTAACTGAAGAGGCACTATAATATAGCGCATTGGTTTTCAAAGTGTGGTCTGAGGACCCCCAGGTGTCCTTGAAACATTTTCAGTGGATATGAATCAAAATTTTATGTATTTATACTAAAATGTAATTTCCCCTTCTTAGCTGTTGTTCTTTGATAAGTGTACATTGTAGTTTTGGTTTTTTATATTTTTGTAATTTTTTGAGACAGGGTCTTGCTCTGTCGCCTCCTGCTGGAGTGCAGTGGTGGGATCTCAGCTCACTGTACCCTCTGTCTCCTGGGCTCAAGCAGACCTCCCCGCTAGTTTCCTATCCAGCCCAGGAGTTCAAGACCAGCCTTGGCAACAGAGCAAGACTCCATCTTTACAAAATTGTTTAAAAATAATTTTGAAAATGTGGAATAATGTTTACCACTGATCTGTATAATTCAAGAAAAGTGGCTTCGAGGCTGTACACCAGAATATGAATAACTATCTGTGAGTAGTAAGATTTCATGGGGGACATTATATTTTTTCCATCTTTTGGATTTTCCTGTATCTTTCTGATTTTGATGATGAGCATACATTTCTTTTGTATTCCAATAAAGCTTATGTTGGCCGGGCACAGTGACTCACCCCTGTAATCCCAGCACTTTGGGAAGCTGGGGCAGGCGGATCACTTGAGGTCAGGAGTTCAAGACCAGCCTCGCCAATATGGAGAAACCCCATCTCTACTAAAAATACAAAAAAATTAGCTGGGCGTGGTGGCCCATGCTTATAATCCCAGCTACTTGGGAGGCCTAGGCAGGAGAATTGCTTGAATCTGGGAGGTGGAGGTTGCAGTGAGCTGAGATTGCGACATTGCACTCCAGCTTGGGTGACAAGAACAAAACTCTGTCTCAAAACATACACACACACAAAAAACAAAGCTCATATTAAATTGTGTGTATGTACGTACACAGGTAGGTACAGTTAAAAGAGGGAGAAAATGGGTGGAAGCATAATGATTAGAAGATAGAGCTGTTAATTTGGGACCTCTGCAGTCAAAGTGCTGTACTGACCAAGCAATGCATAATAAGGAGGCACTCCATCCCATTAAACTGTTCCCTCTGACCAGTTGAGTTTGTATAAATCTCTTTTACATTTTTGCCTTTGTTTCTATTTTGTAAGATTTATTGAAATTTATCTTTGCAGTGTTTGTGTTAGGCCATGTTCTTGGCAGAGCTGTAACTCCTTCCTGTGTACACTCATTTACTCTCAATTTGCTGAACCTCTCAAGTTTTCTATCAAAAAACAACACACTAAATTTTTTGTTTGTTTTTGTTGGGTAAGGATAATCTGATTTCTTGTAGGCATAAAGTGGTGGTGTTAGTATAAAATGTTTTAATTATTTCTTTGTGTAGCTTTTTTTTTTTTTTGAGCCAGGATCTCACTCTGCTGCCCAGGCTGGAGTACAGTGACATAATCACAGCTCATTGCAGCCTTGACCTCCCCTGGCTCAGGTGGTCCTCCCACCACAGATTCCTGAGTAGCTGGGACTACAAGTGCACATCACTAGGCCAAGCTAAATTTTTTTTTTTTTTTGAGAGACAGGGTTTCACTATGTTGCCCAGCCTGTTTTAATTATTTGAAAGTGCATTTCTGTAATATATTTTGTTCATTGACTGTAGGGTGTGAAAATTGTCCTTAACAATTCATGTATGCTGTATCTTTCTGATTTTCTGTTTTTCTGTTTTTCCTTGCAAATAGGATCTTGAGGAATTAAAATATTAATTAAACTTGATTTTCTGAACTGTTATCTTAGTATATTCTCTTGGGAATCAATAAGATTCTATTCCTCAAATCAGTGCCATAAGACTAATTTATTTGGTTATGTAAAGAACTGAAAACTTCGGTATCAGCATTAATTAGGTTACTCAAATAGATAGTATGTCCGTATTCTTCTAACACCTTGCTACTCAAAGTGTGTTCCAAGGTCCAGCAGCCTTTGTATCACCTGGAAGCCTATTAGGAATGCAGAATCTCAGACTCCACCTCAGACCTGCAGAATCACAATTTGTGTTTTGAAAAGATTATTTGTGGGATGCAGTGGCTCACAGCTGTAATCCCAACACTTTGGGAGGCCACAGTGGGCAGATTGCTTGATGTCAGAAGTTCGAGACCAGCCTAGGCAACATGGTGAAACCTCATCTCTACAAAAAAAAGCAAAAATTAGCCAGGCATGGTGACACACACCTGTAGTCCCAGCTACCTGGGGGGCTGAAGTGGGAGGATCACTTGAGCTTGGGAGGTCAAGGCTGCAGTGAACCGTGTTTGTACCACTGTATTCCAACTGGGCCACAAAGTGAGACCCTATCTCAAAAAAAAGATTGTTACATGCATATGAAAGTTGAGAAGTTCAATTCCAAAGGATATTTCATTTTTATTTCCCAAGATGCTATGAGATGTGTTGGATTTATATGTGGGATTTATATGATATCTAATTAGTATGGAAGAATAGAGTAAAACAGGAAACAAAAATACGAAGCTGTGCCTAGTATAGTGCTCTGTGTTAGATAAATGTTCACAATTTGACAACTTTTTTTGTTTTTGCCATTTTTCTTGATTTTTCAAAGAAAGAACGAATAGGCTTGTTTTTGACATTCTAGAATGTTTAAGTGGGAAGGATCTTAGACATGACCTGATAACAAACCTTGGTTTTACAGGTAAACAAACTGGGGGCTAAGAATGTTAAGTGACTTACCCAAGATCATATAGCGTGGACTGCCTGTGACCTGATTTTCAAACTACTGATCTTTGTGCTACCCCTCTGTGTTGCTGAAGGCCATCTATTGTTAGTTGGTTCTATTGGTGTTGGTTGAAACCATCCTGAACACACCTGTGACTGGGCACAGTGGCTCATGTCTGTAATCCCAGCACTTTGGGAGGTTGAGGAGGGCGGATAACTTGAGGTCAGGCATTGGAGTCCAGCCTGGCCAACATGGTGAAACCCCGTCTCTACTAAAAAAACAAAAATTAGCCAGGCATGCTGGTTTGCACCTGTGATTCTAGCTACTTGGGAGGCTGAAGCAGGAGAATTGCTTGAACCCTGGAGGCGGAGGTTGCAGGGAATTGAGACCATACCACTGCACTCCAGCCTGGGTGACAGAGTGAGACCCTGCCTCAAAACAAAACAGAACAACCATCCTGCGCAATTATGAGTGAGAGTAAATCCAACACATCTCACAGCATCTTGGGAAAATGATAAGACTCACTTTTCTTCTTTCCCTTCACTGTGAACTCATGTAATAACTTCAAAGAAAGACATTTCCCTGCTGTCTGGAAGTTGAACTCCTACAAACTGGTGGAGCTTGCTGCTCAGTCCTGTGCTCTCTGAGCTGAGGGAAAGGTGTGGGGATTTTCTGTTCTACTGAAATGGCAGGATTGTGTCATGACAGTGGTTTTGAGTGTTTAGAGGTAGTGTTATTTTAATTAGTTTTCTAACTCTGGTTTAAATAAAAACTTACAAACCAGGAAAGAACTGGCTATCTGTATGTTAAGAAAATTAAAAGAGGGCTGGGTGCAGTGGCTCACACCTGTAATTCCAACACTTTGGGAGGCTGAGGTGGGTGGATCACGAAATCAGGAGATCGAGACCATTCTGGCCAACATGGTGAAACCCCGTCTCTACTGAAAAATACAAAAATTAGCTGGGTATGGTGGCGTGCGCCTGTAATCCCAGCTACATGAGAGGCTGAGGCAGGAGAATCACTTGAACCTGGGAGGTGGAGGTTGCAGTGAGCCGAGATTGCACCAGTGCACTCCAGCCTGGGCGACAGAGCAAGACTCCATCTTAAAAAAAAAAAAATAGAAGAGGAGAGAGAGAACATTGACTCTTACCTTGTACCATACACAGAAATTCATTTGAGGTTGGGTATGGTGGCTTATGCCTGTAATCCCAGCCCTTTGTGAGGTCAAGGTGGGCGGATCACTTGCGGTCAGGAGTTGGAGACCAGCCTGGCCAACATGGTAAAACCCTGTCTATACTAAAAATACAAAAATTAGCCAGACGTGCCGGGCACACATAGTCCCAGCTACTTGGGAGGCTGAGGCAGGAGAATTGCTTGAACCCAGGAAGCAGAGGTTGCAGTGAGCCAAGATCACTCCCCTGTACTCTAGCCTGGATGACAGAGTGAGACTCCATCTCATAATTAATTAATTAATTCATTCATTCATTCAGACTGTGGGATGCTACTTAGCAACTTTTAAAAAGGGGCAAACTTTTTAGAAATAAAACACCCTGAATGACTCTTGAGAATTATTCTGAGTAAAAAAAGCCAATCCTAAAATGTTACATATTGTATGATTCTATTTATGTAGCATTCTTGAAATGACAGAATTATAGCTATGAAGCACAGATTGGTTCTTCATATTGTCAGGGCCTGTGGATGGTGTGGGGCTGAAAGTAGATGTGGCTATAAAAGGTCAATGTGAGAGATCCTTAGGGTGATGGAAATGTGTATGTTGACTGTATCAGTGCCAGTATTCTGGTTGTAATATTGTACTGTAGTTTTGCAAGATGTTACCATTGGAGGAAACTGAGTAAAGGATACATGAGCTCTTTGTATTATTTCTTATAGCTACATGTGAATCTATAATTATCTCAGAATGAAGTTTAAAAACTACAGACAGTTTAGCAGCTTTTCAAAAGGTTAAACATAGATCCTGTGACCTAGCAATTCCACTTCTAGATATATATCCTAGAAAATTGAAAACATTTGTCCATGTAAAAATACACACACAAATGTTCATAGCAGCATATTCAAAATAGCTAAAAAGTGGAAACAACCCACATGTCTTCCAGTTGATGAATAAACAAAATATGGTATATCCATACAATGGAATATTATTCACTCATAAAAAGAATACTGTTGATATATGTTATAAAATGAATGAACCTTGGTTGTGTGTGGTGGCTCATGTCTATAATCCCAGTACTTTGGGAGGCCAAGGCAGGTGGATTACTTGAGCCCAGGAGTTTGAGACCAGCCTGGGCAACATGGTGAAACCGTATGTCTACTAAAAATACCAAAAAATTAGCCAGGCATGGTGGTGTGTGCCTATAGTCTCAGCTACTCTGGAGGCTGGGGCACAACAGTCGCTTGAACCTGGGAGATGGAGGTTGCCGTGAATGGGGATCAAGCCATTGCATTCTAGCCTGGGTGACAGAACGAGACTCAGTCTTAAAAACAACTACAAAAAAATGAATGAACCTTAAAAACATTTTCCAAATGGAAGAAGATAGACACAAAAGGCCACATATTGTGTGATTCGATTTAAATGAAATGTCCAGAACAGGAAACAAAGAGTAACTGATGGATACAGGGTTTATTTTTGGGGCAATGACAATGTTCTGGAATTAGATAGTGGCGATAAACTATGGAATTATGCACTTTGAATGGTTGAACTTTATAGTATGTGAATTATATCTCAATTTTTCAAATTGTATGAGGAAAAAAATTCAGGTTTCTCTAGTGACAGCAGATCAGTGATTGCCTGGGGCTGGAAGTGGAAGGAGAAATTGAGTACAAAGGGACACAAGAAAACCCTAGGGATGAAAATACATCTCTGGATGGTCATGGTTATACAGGTATATGCCATTGTCAGAATGCATTGAATTGTACACTAGGTGAAGTTTATTGTGTCTGAATTGAAGTTCAATAAAGTTAGTTTTTAAAACTTGTAATAAAATTGTCTCTAGTTGTTGTAAGCTTAAAATGACCTTTAGGTTAAAATTCTCTTATCTCTTATTAATTATAAAGCCAACAACTATTGCAAAAATTACCTCATGGAGTCTGACTTCCATTGCTAGTTTCTATTCCCACGTTTCTATCCAGTTTCCAAAGTGAAACTAGATTGATCACTTTTACCCAGACTCTGCTCTTAGGCCTTTGTACTAGCCTGACTCCGTTACTGTACTTTTCAGAACCCATGAGTGGGTGTGATTGTTCTAACTTTTTTTTTAAGTTTATGGAACATTCTATTGCTTTTTTGCTTTATGTACAACAGAAAAATGTCTCAATTTGGGTATAACAAATCAGGGTGATTGCCTTTCACCTCCACTTTGGAGTGCTTTGAGCCAGTTTGGACACGAGGAGGTTGGAGTTAAAATGACTCCTGAAGGAAGTAAGCAAGCATGAGAAGAGGGGGCAGCACTGGTAGGTAATGCTAAAACAAAACCAAGTGTGTGAGCTTCTTTTCTACCTACATCGCCTTCGTCTCTCAACCCTGATCTTTTGCCAAGAAGTGAACTGATTAAATGAAATATACAAAACCTTCCAAGGTTTGAGAAGAGTTCTAGAGGGTGGTCTCTAAGTGAGAAGGACCATCTCTATAGGTGACCCTGAGTTTTATCCCCAAATTTCCTTCTACCCCAGTGTACCCATCCTCACTCATTTTTCGGGTCCCACCAAGCCTAAACTCACTCAGGGGTAGTTTTACATTTAAAATTTTGCCTCATAAGTGGACACATCTTTTTTATTGTTTCCCTTAAGCACAGATTAGACTAACTTTATTAAAAGAGACCATGCAGTAGCATCCCTTGAGACCGGGAGGCAGAGGTTGCAGTGAGCCAAGATCCTGCCACTGCACTCTGGCTTGGGCGACAGAATGAGACCCTGCTTCAAAAAAAAAAAAACAAAACCCAAAACAAAACCACCACCACCGACAACAAAAGCCTCCAAAACAAAAATCATGAAAACATAAAAGAGACATATTTCTAGAATATGGAATTCTAGAATTCTAGGAATTCTAAGTGGATTTTGTAAGAATTCCAGCAAAATAAATATATTTAAAATAATAATAGCTAACATTTAGAGTTTACAGTGCATGAAGAGGAAAGACAGACACTGTTTTGTTTTTTTCTGTACTCTACTACTCCTTTCAACACTCCACCTCTGATGATATCAGATGTGTGGTCCCCACCCCCCCAACAACCAATTCTCCAACCATCTGGACACTAACTGGGTGTTCTGCAATTTAACTCAATTTTGACACTAATTCCCTGGAGTTAGTGCAGACCCCCCAGGTTAAGGGCTCAGGCCCACAAGATTGTCCCCAACTTCAGATGGCGGTCGATAGTGGTGGGTCCTCAGATTATCCATAACTTCTGTCTGACTCGGCTATAAATCAGAGGTTTCCACAGCCCCCTCCTCAGGTTGGATCATTTGCTAGAATGACTCACAGAACTTATGAAGCCCGTTTACTTAAATTTGTCAATTTATTATAAAAGATATAACTCAGGAACAGCCAAATGGGAGAGAAGCATAGGGTGAGCTATGAGGGGGTTGTGTGGCGCTCCCATGTCTTCTCTGGGCATACCCGCCCCTCCCAACACTGCCTGGGTTTATCAGTCTGGAAGCTCTCTGAACCTTGTCCTTTTTGGTTTCTTTGGAGTCTTCATCATGTAGGCATGATTAATGACATCATTGGCCATTGGTGAGTAGGTCAATCTTCAGCCCCTCTTGCCTCCCCAGAAGTCAGAGTATTGTGGGGCTGCAAGTTCTAATCCTCTGATCATATGATTGTTTTCCCTGGCAACCAGCCTTCATCCATAAGGGTTTTCCAAAGTCAGCTCACTAACATAAACTCAGGTATGGTTGAAATGGACCTGTTATGAATAACAAAAGATGACCCCTTCTACCTTTGTTATTCTTAGGAAATTTCAAGGTCCAATTTTAGGACCTCAGTGCCAGGAATGAAGACAAAGACCAAATATGTATTTATTATAAATCACAACATTGCAATGTGGCAGACAGTGTACCAAGTTCCTTACGTATATTAACTCTTACTCTTTGCAACAACTATGTGAGATAGATGCTCTTATCCCATTTTGCAGATAAGGAAATTGAGGGACAAAGTGGATTTGAAACCTATCCAGTGCTACACACTTAGTAAGTGGTACAGCTAAGATTGTATCCTGCTGGCCTGGGTTAAGAATCTATGCTCTTTACCTCTATACTATATTGCCTTTCACGTGAACTTCAAGCCCTTTTTCAGACCCTGTGTGTTAGCTCTTGATAGACTGTTCTAACTTGTCTAGGTTCCTTTGCTCCATTCTCCCAGTACTTAGCCTGCCTGACTTTTTAGTCCCCCTTCCCTCCCTGTTTGATCTTTCCCTGCCAGAACACTACAACATACATGTAACAAACAAAAAAAACCCTCCAACTTTTTCTTCTCTTAGAATATGTATTTTAAGGGGCCAGGCACAGTGGCTCACACCTGTAATCCCAGCACTTTGGGATGCCGAGGCAGGAGGATTGCTTGAGTCCAGGAGCTCTAGACCAGTCTGGGGAACATAGTGAGACCCCCATCTCTACAAATAATGAAAAATTAGCCAGGCGTGGTAGTGCACACCTATTGTCCCAGCTGCTCGGGAGCTGGGGCAGGAGAATTGCTTGAGCCCAGGAAGTTGAGGCTGCAGTGAGCTGTGATTGTGCCACTGCACTCCAGCCTGGGTGACAGAGTGAGAGCCTGTCTCAAAAAAAGGAAAAAAAAAAAGAAAAAAGAAAAAAGAAAAAAATTATGTTGTCCTAGACGTTCTTTCTGCATAGCAATGGCCCTCTTTTTTAAAAAATAAATTCGACATTTAAAAAAAGCTCTTAGAAGATGAGCCCTAACCTTTGCATAGAAGCTTCCTTGTTTTTAACTGTGACTCTTGTACCTGTTCACAAGGATTAGGAGGGATGCTATTTTAAATTACAGTGTAGTAATATTTCTGACTCTATACCTGTGGCCAAAACCAGTGTCATATGCTTGAAACTAAGCAAAACTTCTAGTGTGTCTTGCCATAAACGTACATTAGACATTTTTTCCGTTGTAGCTAATAGTTTCTGTGGGTTGGAATTAAAATTAAACCTGTATATCTTTAGAGTAGGAACATTTGCTGTATGAAGGTCCTTGTTGGCTCTGGTAAGAAAAAGTTCCCTTGCTTATTCTCT